CACCACTACCAACCACCACCATAACAACCACTAATACCACCACCACTACCACTACCCACCACAACCACCACCACTACCACCATAACAACCTCTAATACCACCACGACTACCACTACCACCACACCAACTAATACCACCACCACCACCACTAACCACCACAACACCACCACTACCACCATAACAACCACTAATACCACCACGACAACCACTACCACCACAACCACTAATACACCACCACCCACCACTACCACTACCACCACAACCCACTAATACCAGCACCACCACAACCACCACCACTACCACCACCACCATAACCAACCACTAATCCACCACGACTACCACTACCCACCACAACCCACTAATACCACCACCACCACTACCACTACCACCACAACCACTAATACCATCACCACCACAACCACCCACCACACTACCACCCACCACCATAACAACCACTAATACCACCACGACTAACCACTACCACCACAACCACTAATACCACCACCACCACCACTACCACTACCACCACAACCCATAATACCAGACCACCACCAACCACCACTAATACCACCACCACCACCACTACCACCGCCACCACCACTAATACCACCACCCACACTAATACCACCACATCACCACTGAACCCCACCACCACCACACCACCCACCACCACACACCACCCTACCACTACCCACCCACCATTACCACCAACACCACTAACACTACCACCACCACCACCAGTACCACTACCACGACCACCATTACTACCCCCCCACCACTAATACCACCACCATCACCACTAACATCACCACCTCCACCACCACCCACCACTACACCCAACTACTACCACTAGCTAACACCACCACCACCACTACTGCCACCCACCACCAACACCACCGCCACCATCACCACTAATACGACCACCACTACCACCACTACTAACACCACCTCCACTAACCACCACCACTACCACAACTATTAACACCACACCACACCACTACCACACTATAAAACCACCAACGCTGCACCACCCCCATCACCAGCACCACCAACCCCCACTATACCACCACCATTACCACTGCCCACCACATACCACTACCATACCAACATTCACCACTTACCTCTACCCACACACCACTACCACTTACCACCATCACCACTAACATACCACACACACTACACTTCGCCACACCACTACACCACCCCACCACCTCATCACACTATCACCACTACCACACACCACCACTCCACCACCACCACCACACCACAAACCACCACCACCACCACCTCCACCACCCACCACAACCACCACCACCTCCACCAGGTTGGTAGTTCATTCACCTCAGAGGACTTGTATCTCTCTCTCTATCTCTCTCTCTCTCTCTCTCTCTCTCTCTCTCTCTCTCTACTCTCTCTTCACTCACTCCCTCTCTTGGTTAAAGGCCTATAGGCCTACTGCTGTACCTATTTCCTGATCCAAGATAGCTTACTAGGATACCCAAGATAACTTAGGATGAACCGGAAAAATAGATTAGATTACCAAAAAATAACTGGCTGTGGCTGGTGGCAAACAGCTCTAGCTTCATCAACGCTGTGTGTCCAGGGTTTCGTTTTCCCGGTAAGGGTGGGTAATGGGGTGTTACCTTGTCACCTGTTTGTCCGTGTTCACCAATCAGTTAAATGGACTACCTGGGTGTTGTCGACTCGTGATGTCGCTTCCTGGACAAAACTGACCTAATTTGCCGAAAATGGCTCAGCATAAAAAGGGACTTTCTATATAGTAGTATGTCACTGATGTAAGCATAGGTCTGGTATTTACCTTGTCATACACAAATAACCCGCTCATAAAAGAGAGAAGCTTACGACGACATTTCGAGTCGACTTGGACCACTGATCTTTGTCAATGGTCCCAAAGTCGGACGATATCGTTCGTCCTAAGCTTCTATCTTTTGTGTGCGGGTTATTTGTGTATCGGTTCAGTCACGGTATTGTGCATTTATGATATTTCTTGTACTGGTACTTGTAGTAAATAAAGATATTATTATTATTATTATTATTATTATTATTATTATTATTATTATTAGTATTATTATTATTATTATTATTTTTGCTCAATAACCCCCAAAATAAGTAGGATAAAGCTGCGATAAAACTTTCTTATCGCAAGATAGACATATTATATCGTCATTTACAGCTGTGATATTGATATTCATCATACGTCAGTCACATACGTATAATTATCCTAGGATAGCGTTAATGTTTTCTTCTTATCCTAGGTTCTGGTGGTATATGTTCGTTGGTGCCATGTTGTTGTTGTTGTTGTTTGTTGTTGTTGGTTGTTGTTGTTATGTGAACAGTGGCTGGAGGGGGTGCAGATATCAGCTGCTTGTTGAGAAGTCTCAACTCACTTGCTGGCGTTGCCTTTCTGTAAGCAGGTTATCAAAGATTATGTCGGTGGTACGGTAAGGAAGAGCAGGACAGATTATTGGCTTTATAAAGTACAATGCAAATGACGTAAACGGAAGACCCTTGAAGAGGAGATATATCAGTCTTCAGCCTTGCTTTTTCATAAAACCCAGGAAATTCAAAAAGGCCTGTATCCTGGGTGTATAGGAGCAAAATAATCATCAGCAGAAAAACTTTTGCACTTATATTATCATTCACCATTTAGACAGAATATGTACCACTATATACATATGCTACAACTAGAGGTATTAATGCACTCCACGGTAAGCAAGGCAGAACATAAGTCTAGTTAGCAGACTGTGCTTCACAAGCTCCTAGAATGTGAATGGGACAAGGGCAGGACAGATTGTGAGTGGTACCCACATAACCTCTGCGATTGCCAAAACCATCTTCTTATTGGCTGGAACCTGGGTAATGATCGAACGACGGGGCCCATCGTTCGACCCTGGTACTGGTTCGCTGGTTGGGAAAGATAGCCTTTCAATGAGGGTGTGTACTTGCGCCGAATAAAGGTTACGTACTCTTTGCATGCCACGCTTGCAGCACAGCATGTAGAAGACAGTGGAAGATGAGGCAGTGAGTCCCTCAGCCTAAGAGCACGTATTGAGCACCGTTGACTTGATAAATCTGAAGCACAGGCAGGACACAGCAACTCTTGGACATGATCTACTGCCACTGGTGAGTCCCGTCACATGTGACAAAGTCTTCAACTGCTGCATCTCATCTGATTCCAATATATAAGCACCAATCTTGTGCCTGTGCTTCAGATTCATCAAGACTACTGTGCTCGACACCTGCTCCCTGGTTCAGGGACTGATTATCTCGTCTTCTACACTGGCTGGATTATTATTATAATCAAAAAGAAGCGCTAAGCCACAAGGACACTGGCTGGAGAAATGTCCACATAATAAAGATACCCAGATGTTGCACAAGTGTTGCTAGCTCCCAGAGTCTTTCTAGTGGGAGGTGGGGGGAGGGTGTTGCTAGCTCCCAGAGTCTTTCTAAGTGGGAGGTGGGGGGGGAGGGTGTTGCTAGCTCAAGAGTCTTTCTAGTGGGAGGTGGGGGGGAGGGTGGTGCTAGCTCCCAGAGGCTTTCTTGTGGCAGTGGGAGGTGGGGGGAGGGTGTTGCTAGCTCCCAGAGTCTTTCTAGTGGGAGGTGGGGGGAGGGTGTTGCTAGCTCCCAGAGTCTTTCTAGTGGGAGGTGGGGGAGGGTGTTGCTAGCTCCCAGAGTCTTTCTAGTGGGAGGTGGGGGAGGGCGTTGCAGCTCCCAGAGTCTGTCTTGTGGGAGGTCCCTGGGGATGAGGGTGTTGCCTGTCCCAGAGTCTTTCTAGTGCGGGAGTGGGGGGAGGGCGTTTGCTTGCTCACAGAGTCTTTCTAGTGGGAGGTTGGGGGGAGGGTTTGTGTTGCTATGCTCCCAGTCTTTCTAGTGGGGGTGGGAGAGGGCGTTGCTAGCTCCAGAGCAGTCTTTCTAGTGGTGAGGTTGGGGGAGGGTGTTGCTAGCTCCCAGAGTCTTTTAGTGGGTGGGGGGGAGGGTAGTTGTTGCTTGCTCCCAGTCTGTCTATGTGGGAGTTGGGGGAGGGCGTTGCTAGCTCCAGGACAGAGTCTTTCTAGTGGGAGGTGGGGGAGAGGGTGTTGTAGCTCCCAGAGTCTTTCTAGTGGGAGGTGGGGAGGGCGGGTTGTTGCTAGCTCCCAGAGTCTTTCTAGTGGGAGGTGGGGGTCGAGGGGGAGGAGTGTTGCTAGCTCCCAGAGTCTTTTAGTGGTGGTGGGGGGAGGGTGTTGCTAGCTCCCAGAGTCTTTCTAGTGGGAGGTGGGGGAGGGCGTTGCTAGCTCCCAGAGTCTTTCTAGTGGGAGGTGGGGGAGGGTGTTGCTAGCTCCCAGAGTCTTTCTAGTGGGAGGTGGGGGAGGGTGTTGCTAGCTCCCAGGATCTGTTAGTGGGCGAGGTACGGGGGAGGGGGTTTGCTAGACTCCCAGAGTCTTTTAGTGGGAGGTGGGGGAGGGCGTTGCTAGCTCCCAAAGTCTTTCTAGTGGGAGGTGGGGGAGGGCGTTGCTAGCTCCCAGAGTCTTTCTAGTGGGAGGTGGGGGGATGGTGTTGCTAGCTCCCAGTGTTCGCCTCTCCTTCAGTAGTCAGTGAGACACACCAGATAAACCCTGAGGGGTATATTTCTCTCTGCATCAAACTTCTGAAAAAAAAAATAACAGTTTACATTAAGCGCTAAATCCATGTGGGTCATTCAGCGCAAGACGTGGTGGAGACTTTATCCTCCGTCTGGTGAGCGCGGCACAGACACGTCTCCTATTTGTTCTCTATTTTGGGGATTGAAAGAGTCTTATCTAGAGGCATAAAGGTTACTGTGGTCTTCATCCTAGTAAAGTGGATAGACTTTAAACCCCATTAAGCAAGCAGTCTAGTAAGTGGGGTTGAGAGACAGAGACAGTGCACCTCGCTCCCTGCTTTCATGATGGGTTGGTTTTAAAACCCCACCTGTTCCCTGGTTTGTTTATCCCGGTATTAACAGGTATCCTTCTTGACGGCAGGTCTGGGCCTCAGCATCAAGGAGACGGTGATTCCTGTGTACAAGATCAGAGGCGAGGATGCTGTACTCAACTGCTACTACGACCTGGAGGGTGAGCCCTTGTACTCAGTCAAGTGGTACAAGGATGACGAGGAGTTCTACCGGTACATGCCAGGTTCCAGCCCAGCACAGTCTATCTTCTCCAGACCTGGAGTCACTGTTAACGTGAGTATCAGTCTTCCTTGTGCTGCCTTCACTTCCCTTCCTTGGTTACCTAGTGCTACCCTTCCCTTCCTTGGTTACCTAGTGCTACCCTTCTCTTCCTTGGTTACTTAATGCTACCCTTCCCTTCCTTGGTTACCTAGTGCTACCCTTCCTTTCCTTGGTTACCTAGTGCTCCATTTTTTTGCACTAATCTCTTGTGTGGTACTGTGTCAAACGCCTTCTTGCAGTCCAAGAAAATGCCTTCCACCCACCCCTCTCTCTCTTCTCTTACTGCTGTCACCATGTCATAGAACTCCAGTAGGTTTGTGACACAGGATTTCCCGTCTCTGAAACCATGTTGGCTGCTGGTGATGAGATCATTCCTTTCTAGATGTTCCACCATTCTTCTCATGACAATCTTTTACATGATTTTGCTTGCTATACATGTCAGTGACACTGGTCTGTAGTTTAGTGCTTCATGTCTGTCTCCTTTTTTGAAGGTTGGGACTACATTTGCTGTCTTCCATGCATCAGACAATCTCCCTGTTTCGATAGATGTATTGAATATTGTTGTTAGGGGTACACATAGCGCCTCTGCTCCCTCTCTCAGGACCCATGGAGAGATGTTATCTGGCCCCATTGCCTTTGAGGTATCTAGCTCACTCAGAAGCCTCTTCACTTCTTCCTTGGTTGTGTGTACTGTGTCCAGCACATGGTGGTGTACCCCACCTCTCCGTCTTTCTGGAGTCCCTTCTGTCTCCTCTGTGAACACTTCTATGAATCTCTTGTTGAGTTCCTCGCATACTTCACTGTCATTTCTTGTTGTCTCTCCTCCTTCCTTCCTTAGCCTGATTACCTGGTCCTTAAGGGTTTTGTTTTCTTCCTGATGTGGCTGTATAACAGCTTCAGGTCAGATTTGGCTTTTGCTGCTATGTCGTTTTCATATTGACGTTGGCCTCCCTTCTTATCAGTGCATATTCGTTTCTGGCTCTACGACTGCTCTCCTTATTCTCCTGGGTCCTTTGCCTTCTATATTTCTTCCATTTTCCCCAGCACACTTGGTTTTTTGCGTCCTTGCATTCTTTGGGTGAACCATGGGCTCATCCTGGCTTTTTCATTATTCCTGTTACCCTTGGGTACAAACCTCTCCTCAGCCTCCTTGCACATTGTTGCTACATATTCCATCATCTCATTAACTGCTTCCTGCCAGTTCTCTGTCCCCCCTGAACCTCATTCAGGAAGTTCCTCATTCCTATGTAGTCCCCTTTCCTGTAGTTTGGTTTCATTTTTGTCCTGGCCTTCCTGCTTCCCCCCCTCCCACTTGTAGCTCTAACTGTGTATTCGAAGCTCAAAACCACATGATCGCTGGCCCCAAGGGGTCTTTCATATGTGATGTCCTCAATATCTGCACTACTCAAGGTGAATACTAAGTCCAGCCTTGCTGGTTCATCCTCTCCTCTCTCTCTTGTAGTGTCCCTTACGTGTTGGTACATGAAGTTTTCCAGTACCACCTCCATCATCTTAGCCCTCCATGTATCTTGGCCCCCATGTGGCTCCAAGTTCTCCCAGCCGATCTCCTTGTGGTTAAAGTCGCCCATGATCAGGAGCTTTGCCCTGCATGCATGAGCTCTTCTGGCCACTGCAGCCAGTGTGTCAACCATTGCTCTCGTCATACTCTTGCCTTGGCCTCCTGCTGTTCTGTGGTGGGTTATACATCACTGCAATTATCACCTTGGGACCTCCAGAGTGAAACGTTCCCGCTATGCAATCACTTTCTTCTCCGCTGTCTCCTCTCTCCAGCTCATCAAAATTCCATCAGTGTTTGATAAGCAATGCCACTCCTCCACCCCCCCCTGTTCCTTCTGTCTTTCCTCAGGATCTGGTATCCCGTTGGAAAGATGGCATCTGTTATCATACCTGTAATCTTGGTTTCTGTGATCGCTATGATGTCTGGTGATGCCTCTTTGACTCTTTCGTGCCACTCCTCCCACTTGTTTGTTATTCCATCAGCGTTTGTGTACCATACCTTCAGTTTCCTTTCCAACACTGTGGTTTGGGTGGCCTGTGGGGTGGGAGACCTGGTAGCATACTATGGGATTCTATGGTTGGGGGTTGGGTGGAAGCTGTGGGTATGGATTGTATTGTGTATTGGGATGGTGTGATAGGTTGTGGGTTTCTGAGGATAGTTGTGTGTGTGTGCTTGCCCTTTCTGCTCTGTTCTGCTCTGACTGACCTCTGCTGGTTCCATCCTTGTCTCCTTTCCTAGCTCCTTTCGCTTTTTTGTCCTCTCCCTCAGCTGCTGTCTCTCTGTTTGTGTTCTGTCTCTGCCTAAGAACACCTTCTTGTACTCTTCCGAGCTTTTCAGCCGTGGTTTCTCTTGGAGGATCCTGTTCCGCACTGTTTCTGTCCTGAGAATCAGCTTGATCGGTCGGTTTCTCCCCTTCAAGTACCCCCCTATTCTCTGAAAATTTACAATCTCGTCCATGTCTTGTCCCCCTAATTCCGTGATGATTTTCTCAAT